GAGATATAGCGGTTTCCCCGGTAACGGCTGTAATCAAATACAAAATGCTAGGAAAGACGAAATGAAAATGACATCAAAGCTTTTCTGAAGACGGTCGGTTCTTTTCAATTATACATTCATATAAAAACACCTGCGCTGCACTTTAATTTTGAAACGTGCAGTGCTCAGTTTATTCAAGGAAGTAGAATCCTTTTGGAAAATCTATTTGTGGAGGTCAGTTTTGATTTTGTGACGGGCCGCCACAAATAACTCAATATTACCTTTTTAATTTTACATCTAAACAAAAGCATTCAAGAAAAACAAATAATCAAATGTAAAAATCCCTTTAGTGTGTTCATTACAAATAAATTGATTATCAAAACTACAAAAGCAGATCAATCAAGAGCATTGAGTGATTCCCTCTTTTCTTTTATTGTTAGATAAACATTAATGCGACAGACGGCCTCTATATTAAGACCTACTGTAACACACGGATCTAATATAAAGTTACACATCAGATGTTTTTCCCCAACAGTTCCCCAAACGTTCACTTAAGACAGAACAGATTATGTTTGCGTGAATACTTAAATACTGTAATTCTGTGTATATGTGTATATTTATCGGGATCGCTCGCAGTCGGAAGCGCTTCGGATGACAGTTAGCGTGAGAAACAAGCGGAGAAAACGTACAAATAAAGGTAATTAAACATCTAAAATTATTGTTTGGAGCATTGGGATCGCGAGACGAGGGCATAATGAACTCAATTTTGTGAAAACCTCAAAATCAACATTTTTCACTTCTTTTGCCTGTAGCTAGGGCTGTGCAAACGAGATTCGCATGAAAATCGCATTCAATTTTTTGCCCAGCCCTACCTGTAGCTCAAAATTTGTCCGTGCGCATTCCGACTCATTTTGCCAGCACAGGTCACATTTTGAGCTTGTTCATGTTTGCTGATTTTTTTATGGCATCTGACACGAATGCATAAGATTTGTACCTCTTTCCTTGTGATTTTCTTGCACTGCACATTCAGAAGTGAGACACATCTCTGATGTGTGTTTAAATACATCATTAATAACTAGTTGTTCAGTTCAGTTCTGTACACACTGCATCCAGTTGTCATTTCCTGAATTTATCAGGAGTTAATTTGTTTGTATAATGTAGTCGTCATTCCTGTAAATTACTCAATACTCTGTGTGTGTACGGAACAGGATTGAGCACTAAAAGGATTGAGCAATGAATTTAGCTGTAATGTGTACATGGCCTTCAAGTAAGAGTTTAGAGCGAAATACAACATATTACAGTCAGACGCCAAACGTTCAGCAACAAATCTCTACACCTGGACTGCAGTGCTCCGGATCATGTGTGACGCGCACTAGCGAGGGTCTCACAGAGGATGTGTTCTGCAGGGTTAGGGTCAATACAGGAAGTGACCTCACCTGAGACAGAGGAGGCTCATACAGGTCTAACTGCAGCCGCTGCACCACGTCAGGGAAATCAGCTGCGTGGAAACAGATCACGTCTTTGGTTATGCGTGGAGGCTCAGCACTGCGAGGGAACACAAATATACACAATCGAGATCACCAGCTCACGCCAACAAACCACAGCAGACAGGATACGTGATGCATAAAGCTTCCAGAAGAATCACAGCTGTGTGTCGGCTGAAGTGTGTGTGTGTGTGTGTGTATGTATGTGTATGTGTGTGAGTGTGCCTGTAAGTGTGTGTGTGTGTGTGAGTGTGCCTGTAAGTGTGTATGTGAGTGTGCCTGTAACTGCGTGTGTGCGTGCGTGTGTGTGTGTGAGTGTGCCTGTAAGTGTGTATGTGTGTGAGTGTGTCTGTAACTGCGTGTGTGCGTGCATGTGCGTTCGCTCACCCTTCCCCGCAGCGGACGGCTTTCAGCACTCCCACAGCAGCAGTGGTCTGCCGTTCGAACCCTTGACCGATGTGGTCAGCATGAGCTCTGGTTCGGTCCTCAAACAGCATCTCACGCGGCTCACTTGTTCGAGGCAGATACTGAAGATTCTTAATTTCATTAGTCGACCTGCAGAAAGGACTTATTATGAATTTCATCATCATTACATAACAAATGACACACACCCAAAGCCACTGATCAATGAGCATCAATGACACTACACTCTACACGAGTCTTTCTGTATCGATCTCGAATCTCCCTTTTCTGTCCAAGATACTAGAAAAGGTAGTATCCTTATTGTCATTTTGCATTATTGACACACTATTTTCCTAATTAATGCTGTTCAGTTGCTTTGACACAATTTGTATTGTTAAAAGCGCTATATAAATAAAGGTGACTTGACTTGACTTGACCTGCTCTTATCATCTGATCGTGGTTGTATCTCTCTATTACTGCTACTGGATCTTAGCGCTGCGTTCGACACTATCGAGTATTGTTAAAAGCGCTATATAAATAAAGGTGACTTGACTTGTATATATTTGTGTCTGTGTTTGTGTGTGACTGTGAGTGTGTGTGTGTGCACCCAGGGTCAGTCAAGCACTGATGTTATTGATCTGAACTTTTGGAGCTCATGAAGGTGACGCTCTGGAGTGATAATAGACAGGAGGATCATGACAGACTGAGTTCTGATCTCTGATGAGAAAGTGCAGTTAGACTCAGAGCTGAGAGAAGAAAGTTACCGTTTCCGTTTGAAGGGAGACTTTGGCATGTCTGTGACCGGGATCATCTGCTCTCCGGGCCGAACCCACATGATGGGCCCATCGTCACTGTCTGTCGGGCTCTTCAGCTTCAGACTGGAGAACGTCCCCCACGGCAGCGTCCGCTACACACACACACAGATCAATATGCTGCTGCTAAAAGAAAAGTGTGTGTGAAAGACAGACAGAGGAAAACAAACCTCCAGAAAGGGTGACTTCTCCAGCATATTGAGGAACTCTGGGAAATAATCGCCCACCTCCTCGTCCACGGCACCCACCAGACTGATCTGCCTCATAGCACCGGCGCGGTACGTCCCGTGAGAGTAACTCCTCCTCACCTGAACACACACCACACCTCCGCTGTCAAATATCATTGTTCCTGTATGTTATTTGTGTGATAAAAGTCCATTAAAATCTCCTGAAGTACAAATAAAGTATATTCTGAGCAAAAGACGCTCAAACTTTCAGCAGTTGTGAACACACAAACACACACACATACACACACACACACACAACAGCAGCAGAAGACCAGGGTTAGCACTGTGATGCTAGAAATTAGAGATGAAATGGCATGAAAATTTCATATCACGATTATAGTGACCAAAATGATAACAGTTTTCAATATTATCTTGGTATTATTAAAATGTGCTGGAAGTTTTCTAAAAGTACTGAAACACACACCAAAATAATTTCACCAATTTTTATGTTGAAAACCAACAAACAACGAATAAAATTAACAGCACTGTGCACTTTTTGTTTGCATGAACATTAAAATAATAACATTAAAAATGATGACCGGATTTTAAACAAACAAAAAATATTGGTTGGGTGACTTGCAACATAACACGATATCTACTTGCACTACATCTGCAAATAAAGTTTTGCGGAAAAAAAAGTTTTTATAATATGATAAACCTCAGCCTTTAAATCAAATTGAACTCAGTCAAAATAATAAATTATAGTCATTTTATCTGCTCCGTAAACAATTCTACATAGGCTACTTCATTATCTGAAATGTTGAGAATTTTGTAAAGATTTACAAACAAAAGAATTATGTCCCATTTTCGCACTGGTGTGAATACAAACAGCAGAGGGAATGAATGAGAATGAGAATCTTACTAACTTTGCTTAATGCTGAGAATTTTTTAATCGAGAAAATCAAATGTGGTTTTAATGACAATTAAAATATGAAATGGTAAGTAGGGATGGGCGATATGGGCTTAAAAATATATCACGGTCATTTCTGATATTTATTGTGATAACGATATCAATGACGATAATTTAGGGAATCCTGTTTCTTTAGAGCAGTGGTCACCAACCTTTTTAAGCCCAATATCCCTGACCTCGGCCTTTATGAAAGACAAGATCTACCTATTGGATTATCGCGGGAAGACGAATTCTTATCGTGTGGAGAATTTTTAACGGTATATCGCAAACGATAAGATATCGCCCATCCCTAATGGTAATACTAACAATCGTGACTTTTATCGTAGTTTATCGTTCATCCCTACTAGAAATCATACTGCATCATCGTGTGTGAATGACATGAGCTGTAGAGTCACTCCTAACCACAAACACACAGATAAACGACAACAACAAACTCTAAAAGGTCAACAACAAGAGGGAACATTTTCAGGACAAAAATACCCACTATGTAAAGATATCATGAGAGACAGAGACAGAGAGAGGCAGACGGTGAGCGTTTTGACTCAAGTACTCAAGTAAAATCACACACACCTGTCTAAACACAAGATTGATCACATGATCATAAATGCAAACATACACCGAATGCTATTAATAAACGAATGATGCAGCGCCAGTGAAGCATTGTGTGGTCATGTGATCACTCCAGTACAGTGAGCTCTTCAGGAACCAAGGGAATGTGACGTGAGCAGTGCATGATGGGATTGATGACATCACTCACGTCATGTCCAGGCTGCTAATGCCTGCAGGTCTGACTCATCTCGGTCTGACATACAGCAGAACAAACACTGCTAGCGATCTCTCTCTCTCTGGCCGTGTCCAGCCGTTTTATGGAGCTCACGTTTCTATTAATGGTACAAACGGAGGAAGAGCAGATCCTGTTTCTAATGAGAAGATTGTCAAACATCAGACCTCATGGGTCGGCCTGTCTCAGTGTTTCTGATAAAGCATGCCCGTGTGTGTGTGTGTGTGGATTCCAGCGTAGCGGCAAATACAGTCTAGCGAAGACAGAGCTTCTCGTCTTCACGGCTACTCTGACAGTACAGTACAATTCACTATCCAGCTACAGTCATCAACAATAATCCCAAACAGATCAAGCAGAACCAGCACTGCATCTCATCAGGTAGGTCTGGCTCCTCTTAACTCTTGTCATTTCTAGACTGGACTACTGCACACTCTTCTGACTGGACTTCCATCATGTTCCACCTGCTCTTATGAGTCTACACTCCGTCCAGAAGCCTGCGGTCAGAGAGTGAGCGACGCCGTGTGGCACCATCACAGAGAGGCACAACATCACTTTCCAGAACGTTTTCATTCGCTGGTGGAATCATCTTCCTAACCTTGTAAGGAATGCAGAATCCCTGACAATATTCAAGACAGCTGAAAACTCGTGAGCACTTCACCGCTGCCTCTTTAAAAAAACGTCTGTATTACTAGCAGTGTTGCCAAGTCCACGCCTTTCCCGTACTGTATACTGTTGCTGTGGGTTGAAGCGAAAGCCCTCGCCCTATCCTCCGGTACATGACTTCAACCAAGTTGGAATCTCCAGAATGTGATTTTGATAGCCAGTTTGAGACTGGACTAGTTTTGAGTAACAATTGGGTTGGTTTTGTTATGCAGACCTGGCAACCCTGATTACTAGCACTGCTCTTGTTTTTGGCTCCTTAAGATGAATCGCTTGTTGTGTTCTTTATTTGTAAATCACTTTGAATAAAAGTGTTTGTTAAATGAGTATGTAGACAAACACACGTGGCATTAGAGGTGTGAATCTTCACTGGCTTCATGATTTCATTCTTGTCATCCAGTAATCTACTTCAGGGCTCCAGACTCATTCTTCCCACTGCTCGCTCTTTTGCGACTAACTTTCTCAGTTAATTGCATGAGCACATGATTTGGTCGCAAATGTTTTCTGTTTTTTTTTTTTGCTACAACACGGGATTAATCAATGCATGCTGATGAACTTTTATCATCTATCATTCAATCCATTCTTTTTCATCAGTAGTATTATTTGTGATTTGAATTTTGTGAACGGGAGTTCCTCTTTTTCTGTGTTATAAGCCGGGCTTCGGATGCTTTCGCTTTTGAATTTGCGATCTTGTCACGTTTTACAAGAAAAGATGATTGTCTGTTTTGCTTACATCTATACTAGGGATGGTCATTTCGGTTATTTTTCCTAACCGACAACCGACGCTCGTTAACCGACAAGATTATTTTAAATTAGAATTTAATTCAATTAGAAAGGATAAGTGTCTGTGACCCGTTAAAAAATACTAACATTTTTTCTCGGGGATTAATTTTACATGCGCAAAAAGCAGCAAACAACAGAACATGAGGATTCACAT